GTGTCTGTGTCTTACTTTTTTGAGAAATGTCGGCGTGTTCGTGTCGTGTCGTATCCGTGTCCGTGTCCATGTCCATGTTTCTTAGCTCTATCCAATTATATAAAACATGTGTAAAAAAATTAAAGAATTAAGCATATTTTTTGTCTTTCTATTTCTTCTACTATAACATAAAACATGTAATTTTTGTAACTACTGTATAATTTTAGCATATTTATTATTATTATTTTATATTATTAATTATATGATCGGTTGAACCAGTATCCCGTTGACTGGTGTCTTTTCCGGGTCAATCTTCAGGACGGGTTTAAAAACTATGGGTCAGAGAGAGCAGATGCTGCATCTACCATACTTACGTTTTCTATATGAAGTCTTTCCATTTCATGGATTCCCACAATTAATGAAAGCAATATAATGTAGTTCATTTGTAAAAGCTTCTGTATCTTGCCTATTTGATTAGCGTATTACTGGAAAAAATGGTACTGGTTCCTGAATTTTCTAAGAGGGGTCTGCTAAAGGACACATTCAAGGCTTGCCTTGTCTTAGCACATGCCTAATGATGTGGGGCCCACTTGGGACTTGGATGATTATATTACATTTTGGTTTATTAAGACATCTATCCTTTTTGATTTTTCAGTTCTTTTTCTCTTGTTAAGTGCACTACCAGCTACAAACTCCCTTTTCATTTAGATTTATTTTGCAGTGGATGTACTTTTCACTTACACTCCTCTGTTATTTACTTCTGAAAATCAGTGCAACACAGTTGGTTCTGAAGGCTCACAAAGAGGCTGTGAATTCCTTAAGTGGGAATGGCTCTGCAAAATTTGGAACAGTAGCCACTGTAGTTGCTGCTGCAAATTCAACAGCCATGGAATGCTCCAAAGAAATTGAAGCGGCAATGCAAATTGCTATGAGAAATGCTCTTGGAGCAATGATGAATAAAATGCCTGACGGGCCAATGGATGATTTAGCAATTATGAAGGTGCGTGAGTTCTTCGTTAACGGTTCTTTAATGACTCTTTAATCCTTTAAGCAGTCATTATGGTGGTAGGTGGTATATAAATTTGAGGTATAATATGGATACAAGCGTTACTTGTCAACACCGTTTTAGTACCACTCTAGTTGGAGACTTGTTGCTGGCTTGCTTGGGTGTTGGATGAATTTTTGGTTTGGCATGGTGTTTCACAATGCCTGAAACTAGTGGTAAAATGGATAATACCCTTTTAACTTGGGATGCACCTAGACAGACTTTCCAGATACTTCTTTTGTGGGTTTTTTTATGATGTCCATCTCAACTTTTGTTGGTAAGTAAGATGCAAACACGGGCTTGTTGGAATCTATCTTCAACAAGAATCAAACTGAAGTAGCATGAGAAAAAGGCTAGGCTGCTGGCTGATACGTTTTCCTAGAGCTTTAGCTGATTATTGATGTTGGACTTAATATAAACTTCTTCTGGTCTCTTTTAGCTTGCTCATAGCTAGAAGTATTAGTTGTCAACATCATTGGACGCAGTGGTAATGGGGGCACAAAGAAATCATTGTGTTCCCATGCTATGAAGCACGGACACTCTCGAGAAGGTGACGTATCCGTGTCGGACACGTGTCAGACACCGACACTCTTCGGACACTCTCGGACACGTGTCCGATACTCTTCCGACACTTCTTTAGAACGTATCTATCACTAAACAATCGGCATATATTGATATGATTAACAAAGCTTAAAAATTTGAAAACATATAATTACTAATACTAGACATGTTAAAGTTATACTCCAATTATAATAATAAAAACAAAATATGCATATTATTTAAATTATATATTAGGTAAACATTGTCTACAAAAAAAATTTGATGATTATTGACTATAATGAAAATGTTTTAGTCTAAAAATTTATACAAATAACTAGACATTAAGTTTACTTATCATAAAATACTGAATATATTTGCAATAAATTATATGTTATATATAAAATATAATTTTTTTGTAACGTGTCCGTGTCCTACTTTTTTGAGAAATGTCGTGTCGGTGTGTCCGTATCGTATCGTATTCGTGTCCCGTGTTCGTGTCCGTGTCCATGCTTCTTAGTACCCATGTATGAAACACACAGAACATCCTGAATCTACAAGAAGATAAGAGAAAACTCTATGAAATATGTTATTATTGATTGAATGAATAAAAACTTGTAGTGCACAGGGACAATTTGTAGGAATGCCCAGATGCCTAAAGGTTTACTAAATGAATCAAATTTCCTTATTATACGAAAGTTACTAAAAAGAAGAAAAATAAGCGTTGTTTGCATTTTAGGCAGCTAATCACTCAAGAATATTCTTAAATGAATTCTTCCTTCTAACAAATAAGATAAAATAAAATTAAGACTAAAAATAGGGATTCAGGAATTACTAATGCTAGTCCTACATCAAAACCTCCCTCTTAAAAAAAAAAAATTCCTTGGGTTATTATTACTTGATGAACTCGGTATTTCTGGACTTGTCTATCTCTGCCTTGTATTTAAGATTGATCTTTTCTACCCCTACGCAGATTGCAATAATGTATTTATTTGCCTCCGTTTCTAAAGTCAAAGATTCTACAAAATACATTGTATAAGCTTGTGTAGTATTTTCAGTTGCCAAATCAAATTTGGTCACTTCAGAATACTAACTGTCGTGATAATCAATAGAATTGGTGGAGCAGTCCAGGTCATTTCAGATTATAGCTTCTTGTTATTTTAAGTTATTAGGTTTTAGAATCCTTTAGGGTGGTGTATTTTGGCTTCTAGTGAGTCAAACTACCATGGAAAAAAAACCAAAATCCTCCCTAGACTTGGCAAGAGGCTTTTCCAATGCCAACAAGAGTCAATTAACAAAATACAAGCCCAACTTGAGCAGCTTCTACCACTTGGTTGCTGCTTTGCAAGTAAATGCCCCTCCGCAAAACCAAATTAGAGTTGATGGGGAACCAGAGGAATAGTTTAAGAAAGTGATGATGCGATTGATGTTGAAGAAGTTGCTTACAAGCTAGGAAATAAAAGTCGTAGAATAGATGATTGGCCTCTTAGAGGTAATAGGAATTGGGACCATGACATGAAGATCGATGTAGGTGAGTTTGAGGGTCATATATATAGCCTGAGGAGTTTTAGATTGGGTTGATAAGGTAGATTAATTTTTTGAGTGGGAAGAGATGCCTGATGATAAGAAACTCAAGTTCATCAGTTTAAAACTTAAAAGGTATGCCCTTGTTTGGTGGAAGCAAATCGACGATAGTAGAGTGCACAAGGGTAAGGAGAAGATTAGATCATGGAATCACATGAAAGAGAAACTCTGGGGCAAGTTTCTCACATCTGATTATCGTCAGAAACTTTTCAAAAAATTCCACAACTTGTGCCAGAATAACAAAACCATGGATGAATACACAGAGGAGTTCTACATGCTCCAAGCCCGAAATGATTTGGAGAGAATGAGGAGCAAAGTGTAGTTTGTTATGTGGCGGGTAGGGGTGTTCAACAAAACGAGCTACTCGAACTCGGATCATTTTAGGCTCTCTCAAGTTCATTCAATTTCTAATACGAACTGAATATGAACATAATTTAAAGCTCATTTTTATACGAGCTAAGTCTGAGCTTGAACCCGAGCTATTTGGATGGATCATATGAGCACCCTCTTCTAGCTGTCTCATGTCTGCTAACATCTAAATGCCCTTACACCCATGACCCAGCAGTCACTCATGTGACAACAAAAGTGATTCACTTCTGGGAAACTTAGTTTAGGAGTCATTTTTGGAGAACTTTATGGAGTAAACTTGGTACTACTTTACAGTTTAGCAGTGCATATCATCAACAAACAGATGGACAAACTACAGTAGTCAACTGCAACCTAGGTGATTTGCTTAGCTGTCTAGCAGGCAAGTGTCCACATCAATTGGATTTAATTTTACCTGAAGTTGAATTTGCTTACAATAACACTCTATGGATACCCTGTTCCCCGTATTATCGACATGCCTCCATTCCTTATCTTGGGTGTCGATGCTGATGAGCTTGGTGAGCATATAAGAAATGTGCAATGAGATGTGCTTGAGAAGTTGAAGACTTACCAATGCTAATACAAAGAGATAGCAAACCAACACCGAAGAGAGCAAATATTTTTTTACTTAGTTATTATCATTATGAAATCATGACAGTCTTCTTTACTTCATGTGTATTTTCTTCTTTGAAATTTTCACATCACATTGAAATCATCTCCCAAAGGAACACCTAGGACTGCACAACCCATATAATGCTGCCAACTCTTACCAAACAGTTCTTCTCAGCGTAGACTTGTAAGGTCCATAGACCCCTGACAACCACCACTCCAACCTATCATTTATTTTAAAAAGTACTGAAATAAAGAACTCCTCACCCCCCAATAACCTCTAAGGCAGACACATCTCTAACATCTCATATAATTACCACTCCCAAACATACTACAAGACGGTAAACAAACCCATTCTTTAAATCTGAAAGCATTTGATAATTCTCCTATCAATAACCTCCATATTTGTTTCTTGCAAAACAATTATATCCTCATTTTCTTTAACCACCACCTCCTTATAAGAACTTCTTTTTTTTTTTCCTATTGCTCAATCCATGCACTTTCCAACTTGAAACCTGCTTAAACAACTAAATTTCCCTTCCACCTTTTTTAGAGCCACAAGTGTCATAATTCACCCCTGATTCCAAAATTTCTAACTACGTCAAACCTTTCAACTTCCCCACCCCTATCTTTTTTTTTCTTTTTCAGATTGTCCATCCTTCTTCCTAATTGGAACTAATTATAAATCCATCCTAGCCAAAAAGTCACTCTATGACTCTATCTAGCCCGACTAGATCCACCAATCAGACAATCACCAGCCAACCCTGCTGGTTTATTCTCAATTCACAAAATCTCACCCTTAGCCTTTCCTGCCCCATTTTTAGGACACTTATGTGATATTTCATGCCCCGACTCCCCACTCTCAGAAGCATATTTCTCATTAGGACCAGAAGATGACAATGGAAAACATGAGGAAGGCAGTAACAGATCCCTCAACCCCTGAAAACCTATCTTTCTGATTCCTAGAATGTTCAACGTCACCATGGGAAGATTTGTTTGGCAAGCGAGATGGGGATAGGCACTTTCCAGCTGTAGACACATTTCCATAAAATTCCTGGGTACTCTTTGCATCAGATTCCTTCCAATGCTTGCCAAAGAAATCCCCAACACCAATGAAAAAATCCTCAACTCTTGAAACTTCCTCTGAAGAAGTTGAATCATCACTAAGAACCTTCTCTTCCTCTTCCTCTGCCTCTATGACAGCAGTCATCCAACCCAAAACGAGCTGTAAGGATGGTATCATTGTTATATGTATGGAACGCAAAAAGAAAAATATGTTAGTTACATTTATTTCAAAAAAATTGCGAATGTTCAAGTTTGTTAACAAGCCTGTTGATGTTTTTGGATACCCTTAGATGAAGATATTACTGCCACCGCATATCGATGGAATATTTATACTACTTGTGAACATCACTTGTAGTTTCTGTTTTATGGGTGTAATTAAACTATGTTGGGATTGTTTAGGCCCTGAAATGCTTTGTGGCTGGACAGCGTGTAATATTCAATTTGCCTGGCCTGAGCTAGTGATGATAGAAGTATGTCATCGTTGTGCTAGGCTCTGCCAAACTGGCTCAACTGGGCAACCTGTGCTGTTTAATTCTTTGTAAGGCCATTACCCGGTGCTCGTCCTCTATCAATTTGGGGTGTTGGGAGGGATATACTGGATACAAACCTTTCTTCTGGCGTATTTCTGAAAAAATGGCTGCTCTCTTGAATCCACACCTTCCCATTGTGGCCTTTATTTTCTGTTATATTTATTTGGATTTCCCACATATATTAAACTTCAACTGCCTGCAGTTTCTCAGGGGGCAATTTATTTGTTTGCTTTACTATATTGTAGGAAACACTACGCGTCAAGGATGAAGAGTTACAACATTTGGCACGGGACCTTCGTGCTCGGGACTCAACAATAAAAGAGATAGCAGAAAAATTATCTGAAACTGCTGAAGCTGCTGAGGCTGCAGCATCTGCAGCTCATACCATGGATGAGCAAAGGAGGATTGCATGTGCAGAGGTTGAACGCGTAACAAAAGATTTGGGAAAGCAGCTTGATTCATCTATGTTGAAAGTATTGACCTATTTTAATTCTCATCTTTCATGATGGTGAATGATTTGCTCTATTATGTGTAGCCATGAGACATGAAATCCTTTCATTTTCCAGTTTCCTATTTGATTTGTGGCTTCTTTTTTAATTTGTAGCTAAAGGAATTTGAAGAAAAAATTCTGGTTCTAAGTAAAGAAAGAGATCAACTGATTAAGCAAAGAGACTTGGCCATTCAGGAGGCACATTCATGGCGCTCTGAACTTGCGAAGGCTAGGGAGCGCGTTGTAATAATGGAAGGAGCTGTTGTTAGAGCTGAGGAGAGGGTCAGGGTGGCAGAGTCAGATGCTGAAGCTAGAATAAGGGAAGCCATGCAGAAAGAGGCAACTGCTGCAAAGGAGAAGCAGGAGCTGCTGGCATATGTGAACTTGTTACAAGCACAAGTTCAAAGGTTGCAAATCTGATCTTGGTTACACATGAAGTGAATGTATAGCTTGAATAATCTGCACTACCCATCTCATTTTGCAGTCCTTGTGATCCTTTCTTTGCATCAGCATCTTTTGGACCTAGTTATTCCCTTACAAATAATTCATGCTAAAGTACAGCGATCGAGATCAAGCATTGCAAGAATTGGGTGAAGGGAATTGCTAAAGGGTATCAACCCTTTCCCATTACAAGCATAACATATAGAGTTTCACCAAACTGATAGCTAAAGAATAAATTTGTCAAAATTAAGCTACATTGTTCTGGTTTTCAGTTTATTTGCCACAAAATGAGATTTCACTGGCTAAATTTGAGATTATTGACTGTTGTGAATGCTACTGGAATGAGGATTATTTTGGTTGCTTATGAGCACAACCCTTTCCTCTGCTGGGTGATCTGCATAGCATAAAAGACCAGAGCTGCTAAAAATCTCAGCGCCAATGTAGAGAGCTACCGGTGTTGTGATCCAACTCCCATCCTATATTGTACTTGTCTTTTCTCCTTTTTTCTGTGTGATCTTTTGATATGCTGACATTCAGTGATCTGCATAGCTTATATATGAGAGCTGCTGTAACTCTCACCACGAATGTAGAGGGTTATTGGTTTTGTGATTAATCCCCCGTCCTATCTTCAGTCCTTTCCACATTGTGCTCATATTTTATCCTTCTCTCTCTATGAACTTTTGATATGAAAGCGAACTTTACTGGTTAGCTTATGTACTTGGCGATAAACACAGCTAATTGGAGATTAAATTTCTGTCAACAGGCAACAGGTTGATACCAAGCAAGTCTTTGAGGAGAAGACCGAGTCCTGTTCAGATAGTAACGCTACACCACTAACGAAGCATGTAGATCCGTCAGAAGCAAATGTGGACAAAGCATGTCTGTGTGTTTCTAGGGCCATTCCCGTCAGAGGGGAGAGTGTGGTCCACATGGCAGTTGACCAAGCCAATATTAGGCCAATTGCGGATGGTGAATGGAGTGACATTCAAGCAACAGAGCCAAGTATAGCCAATGTGAGAGACATTGCCCCTGAGACAGAAGGTAGCAGCTTGGATATACCTGTTGTTAGTAGGGAATGAACTCTTTCCATCAGGTCAGCTACAGGAGCGAATGCCAACGGTCTTGATGTTCCTTTTTTAGTTCCATATCCCATACGTTGATTCATATGTGAGCCAATGGTAATGTTGACATGAAATTTTGTGCTTTTCTCACACTTTCATGAACTGTTCATGTACTAGCTGATTGCTTATATGCATGTTAAAAGTATTTTTAAGGTACATGACTTGGAAGGGCTGGGTTGATGTTACATCTCATACTTGCGGTGTTACGGTAATACAACGTTATCACTATTAATAGTAAATCTACAAATGGATAAGATGAATTTTATTTTTTGTGTGGGGTTTACTTGTTTATAGGTTAATTATTATCGGACGGTGATATCACATAATAATAATGATGTAGTGACATTGTTACATGAAATATTCTCTATACTTCATGAATATTAGTCTTTGATAATTGATACGATGAAACCCCAAATTCTTCTAATCTGAATCGAAATTACATGCTCTTTCACAAAAAAACCCAAAAAATATAAAGTAATAAAGTTACATTTTTACTACAAAAATAGAAGGAAGATTTGGTCATTAGAGGTTACATATGAGCACGATGACCGCTATGGTGTTCAACCAAAAATATAAGTAATTATCAATCAACAATAGTTTGTCAATACAAAAATCTGATTGCAAGAGGAGATGTCTCTCAGACCAAGAAGGTCTGGATATTTATCTGGAATCTCTTCTTGCCCACTTCAAGTGGATGCAAATAACTAGTGGCGGAGGCACACATCTGCATGAGGGGCTCGGGCCTACCCTGATTTTTTAATTTTTTTTTTTTTACTTATATATATTTTGTGTATCTTTTTTAATATCTTTAATTGTGCTCACCCTGGTGACTTTAAATAAATAAAATTGGAGTGTGTATTTGTGTGCAAGTGTGTATTGAGTTTGTGAATTTGTTTTTTTTTTTTGGGGGGGGGGGGGTGTGAAGTTTTGGAAAAAAAATATATCCCTATAAATTCAAAAATCTAGTCATAACTCATGATTGAAAAAATTATGAAACATAAAATTCTAGTGTTTAAAAAATTAATTCCACTGTACTAAATATAAAATTAATTTCTACCTATGATTTTCTTAAAAATAACATCAAAATTTTCTCAAAATGAATAACTTGATAAATTTTTTTCAACATGCGTATATTATCGTGTATAAATATTGTATGAAATAAAAGTTGTCTTAAACTTCAAATTAATTAAATATTAAATGATTGAACATGTGATAAAATTGCGTGTTGTGATGTTTTTCGGGAGAAAAATATATAGGGGATAAAATTTAACTTGTTAGCTAATTTTGTGTGTGATAAAATAGTTCTAATTTATATATGAATATCTATATAATAAAATACATAAGAAATTGAATTTTATCCTTTATACATTTTTCCCTCCTCCCAAAAAAAAAAACTATCATATCACTTATTTATATCACATGTTTAATTATTTAATATTTGACTAATTTGTAGTTTAATATAATTTTTATTTTAGACATTATCCATACACGATAGTATACATATGTTGAGAAAATTTTATCGAATTACATATTTTGAGAAAATTTTGTCAATATTTTTAATAAAATAATAGGTAAAAATAAATTTTGAATGATGTAATAAAATAAATGAAGAAAAAAAATTATTATTTAATATAGTGAGATCAATTTTTGGGGGTTTGAATTTTATGTTCTATTGTATATTCTGACACGGGTTATGATTAATGGATAGATACGAGAGAGAATTTTTTTTTTAATATTAGTCAAACTCTTAAAATTTGAAAGTTATTAGTTTTTAAATTTAATTTAATTAAACATAATTACTTGTGTTATTTTAGACAATGAGGATCAAAATAAACTTATTTCTAAAAATAATGCTATTTAAATTTAAAAATTTGACATAATTTATTAACATAAATTCATAAAAAAAGACCGACCTCCAGATTTTTCTTAGCAAACAAGTTCTCAAATAAAATTGAACTTGACCTAAATTCGTAAGCCCAAATAAAAATTAAAATTCAATCCAAAAATATGGAACTAAGTTGGATTGGACCTCAATTGCCATAGGCCCAAAAAAAACCCCAAAAAAAAAAAAAGGATTTCAAATCAAATAAAGCCAAGGCAACGGTTAGTTTCCAAATCTGTCTCCTCAGCGCCGGCTATAAATACCCTAGTTCTCTCAGTTACAAACAACGCCTCTCTGTCTCTCCCTGTTTCCAAATTCTGGCCTCACGTACACCCTCAATTCTCTCCCTCTCTGTCCAGCGCCTCTCCCTCTATCATACCCTAACTGCCTCTCTTCTCCCTCCATAAAAAGCCTTCGTTTGATTTACACAGCCTTTGTTTGATTCACACAGTTTTCCTTTCTGGGTATTTTCTAATTGCTTTTCTAAGCTAGATTTTAGTCTCCAGCAGATTAGTGCCAGAAAGGTAGACTTGGAGGAAACATGAAGGATCATGAAGGAAAGTTATAACTTGTGATCATTTTTTTTTTAAACTCAGACGTTATTATTTGTTTAATTTTTCGTTCATTCATTAGAAATAATGTCTGTCCCTGATCAGAATTTTAATAATTGTTTGAAACCGCTAAAAGGGAAATAAAAAAGCAAGCCGATATTTCTGGGTTCTACTTAAGTGTATGCATAAAAAGAATAGCTTGTTTATCTGCCTTCCCTCGTTTCTATGCTGTTTTTGAGTTTGTAATTAAGTTTGTGTGACTCAATTATTACAGAACTTTGAGAAAAACTTGTTACTTCTACCTACAAATGCTCTCAATCCTTGCTTCAAACAACAAAATGGTTTAGTTGTTTGTATATTCATCGGGAATGAAAAACTTTAATCAGTATCTATGTTTTGAACTTCCTGCAGACTCACACCTATAAAACTAAATTTTGGAATGCAGAGCCTTCTGGTCTGATGTTGAAAGTGGTTTTGTTGGTAGGCAAATGCAGTAAATATGAAACAAGCTTGAGTAACTTATATTTAGCCTTAATGATATCTCATTCTAGTCTTAATTTATCTGGAGTTGGACAATAGCAGGTGTATTCAATCCATGTTATATAACACAAAATTTTCTAAGAAGCCGTTTGCAATTTCTTTTCATTTAATTCACCCCAAACACCGTTAATTACCCTGTAGTGTAACGTGCTATTTTCTATTCCTCTTAATATGTCCAATTGAATTCTACCATCCACTTTGAAGTCCATGTCTCCTTACCTGTGTATAGATCGAACCTCCGCAAGGACATCACAAGGAGTCTCATTCTTGCCCTCGCAGCCCCACCCACCGAAAATCCCCATTCAATTAAAATCACAGCCACCACCACAGTCTAACTGTCATACCACAGCCCACCGACAAGAATCTTCCACTAGAGATAGCAGGTTTGTGCTCATTCATGCTATCGCGCTTTGAATTTTGGTATGTTTTTTGTTTTTATTTTTTAATTCTCCGTTTGCTACATTCTCCAGACTTCAATTTGTCTCAAATCTTTGATTTTTTGTTGTTGTTGGTTTTATTCCTCTATTTTGTAGTTTCATTGTCTTTGCCTCAATTGTTTGATTCATTAATTTTAGATATTGGTTATGTTGAACTGGTTTAATATATAAATTTTTTCTCTCGTTTATGTAGTGTTTATAGTGTTAATCCTTTCTATGGATCATATCAATAAAATTGGTGCGGACAAGTGAAAAAAGGTGTCCGAAGCTATAAGTATTTAGTTAGGAACAAATAGCATAATAATAGTTATGAGAGTGACAATTGTAGACCACTAATTTTGTTCTTAGTGACCGGTACTTTTTTATATGAAACTCTCTCTATTTGTGGATTTTTTTTAAGAGACTCATTTGATTTATTTGTGAAATTTCAGTGCATTAAGTTCTTATATATTTTTCACATGTGTTTTGGGTTTTGTTATATTGTACTCATGGGCATAGTGTTTTAAGGATTATCTTATTTTTTCAATTGATATGACTTCGACTCAATAAAGATGACAACAACCCCTTGAGGGTTTGAGTTTCTTCTCACCACCATCATGTAGTTATCATCTCCTTAAGAAGAATGATGATCATGTTTTGACATTTTAAAATTTCTGGAAGAAGTATGCAGCGTGAGCAATGGGTTGAAATTGGGTTCCCTTTTTCCAATACTTTCAAATGAAATTTTGGTAGTAGAGTTTGTGCGATGGATCAATTGTATAAACATATAATACTTAGTAGATCATAAGAGAAGTTATGCTTCCATGATATTTATGATTAGTGTGAATAATGATCAACAAATTTATCGATGTCTTTGGCTTGTTTTGGAAGACCTTGTGTATTTAAATGTTGTATTAGTTGTGTAAGTATGTGGTGGATGCAATCTAGTATGTATATATATCTGCTTGTCGAATAAGTGAGTGGACATATCACGCGTTCTTTTTTTTTTTCCTTCCCTTATTGTTCTTTGTTGTCCTTAAGACTTTTTTCATTTTCTCTATACATAACTAATCTAATGTGCCTTCATTTCAGCTGTTTGTGGAATGAATGCTATCTTATGATGGAATAAGGAGGGGTTGAACTGAGTAGACATGAATTTGCAAAGCGAGTTTGAGAGTCAAAAGATAAGTATATCTACTTGTCCCACTCCCAATGTTTTTTTATGCAAAATATGTTTTACCGATGACTATTTCTATTTCCCTTTGTATTTCTTACTTGTTATAATCATTTTTGTATTATTTCAAACCTCTAACACTCTCATTAACCCATAGTTTCCTTTTCATTTTTCGTTTTTATTTTCTTGTATTATCTTCTCATTAAAATTGTTAAATGTTGGTTACAAAATCTAATTACTTGGGGAGAGAGTAAAAGGTTAGTGTATGGATGAAAATTAAGAGTTTGTAGCACGTAGAAGCGCTACTAATGAAATTAGGAATTCAAATAATAGGAGTATACCGATTTTACGGTTGAAGTTTTTAGTTCTTCCTTATTATTGCTTTTAATTGGGAT